CAGGACCTGGTTAACCTAGTTAAAACACACACACACACACACACACACACACACACACACGACCCAGGACTTGGTTTCTCTAAGTGTGAGATGGGAATCCCTGTTTTCACATGGAAATTTGGGGGTGGCCACAATGGTTTTCAGGAAGAGGTCCTCAGTCAGGGCATTAAATAGTAGTCCTGTTTTACTTCCTCTGACGCCCAGGCCCTGGGATGTTGGCTACTTGCCCACCTACTTTTCTGAGCTGCTGTGTCTCGTGCGCAGGTGCGTTGGCCAGGGTGCAGGTGTTCGGGAAGTGGCACCCCGTACCCAGGAAGCAGGCCACGTTTGGTGACACTGGGCTGACATACACGTTTTCCGGCCTCACTCTGTCTCCCAAGCCCTGGATCCCAGTTCTGGAGCGAGTCCGGGATCGTGTTTCTTTGGTGACTGGACAGACCTTCAACTTTGTGCTTGTCAACAGGTGACACCCTACCTACTTTTGACTTCTTTTTTAGGCAGTGGATGGTCTTTGACATCTTCTGTCTGTTCCCAGAGGAAGAGTAGGATTCTATCCAGTTTTATTCATTTGTACCATGAGATGTCTTTAAGGCACCCAGTAGACTGTAGTGGAGCAGCAGAGTCCTCAGGGAGTTCATGGAGATCGACTGGTGAACAAGAAGTTGAACAAGATAATTGACACAGATCAGTGTCTTGGCGAAAATCAGACAGGTTGAATTGACTAAGAATGGTCGGGAGAAAAGGACCTGGATTTGGGGCAGGACTACTAGGGACATGCGGAGTGGGTTCATGGCTTTTGGCTGGTTGACACTCAGCATCTGTGGCCTCCACCGGCTGGGTGCCAGGAGCAGCCCCTCCCCCAGTCACAGCAGCCCAAGGGTCACCAGACATCACCCAGGCCCTGTTTGAGAAGTCTGGGTGTAGGGGATAGTGGGTAGAGGATGTCCCCAGAAAAGCAACCCACGAGCAAGGGGTATGAGATGAGCTCAGAGGTGGGCATGCAGAGTATGGATTTTATTCTAGCGTAGGGAGAAACGAGGTGCTAAAGGTTTACATATGCAAGCCAGAACTTCTTTTAGTGTGATAGGCTGTTAGGCTTTCAAATGTGTATTCAGACAGGGCGATGGGGGCGATATTCTGGGCACTGGCGCATCTCAGGAGCTGTGATCGCTCTCTCAATGCAGGTATAAAGATGGCTGTGACCACATTGGGGAGCACCGAGATGATGAAAGAGAACTGGCCCCTGGAAGCTCCATCGCCTCGGTCTCCTTTGGGGCCTGCAGAGACTTCTTCTTCCGGCACAAGGATTCTCGAGGAAAGAGCCCGTCCCGCAAGATGGAGACCGTCCGGCTTCAGCTGGCCCACGGAAGTCTACTTATGATGAACCCCCCAACCAACACCCATTGGTACCATAGTCTGCCCGTCCGAAAGAAGATTCTAGTTCCGCGGGTCAACTTGACATTTCGTAAAATTTTGCCTACTAAAAAGTGAAAATGTTTATAACTGTTTGCACTTCTCATCTCCTTCCTTCTGTGTGGAGAGGGAGCTGGCATTTCTGTTGCCAACAGGGCACACAAATAGGTTAAATCAAGATGCAGGACTTAATATATAGCTGTAGAACTTGGGAGAACGTTTGTACCATATAGGTAAATGATTAGAAAATACTAGTTGATTTTTTCCTAGCAAAATGATTCTTTTATTGCTATGTTACACAGCAGATACAAAAGGGAGCTTTAGCAAATACAGAAATCAGCAATTATGGCAAAAACTCCTAACTTAAGTTTCTGTCAAAAAAAAAACTACTTTGTAAATAACTTAAAACTAGAAATAGTATTATCTGGCTACATTTAATGTCTAATAATTTACAAAATGAAGAAGTAAGCTTTAAGGTCAGGTTAAGAGACTTTCACACATAATTCACATTTACAACCTTGGCCCAAGCCCCGGCCCTCTGACCAAAGATCTGCTTACACGGAAACCTTTAAGCTGCAGCCCTTTCGCGCTGGCGCCTCTCGCGTGGGGATTGCAAAGAGCGAGAAGTGGCGAACAGCAATCATTTAAAGCCACGGCTTTGTGATGCAGCTTATGGCCATGCGACCAGACATTAGTTCTGCCAGACTCAGGCAAAACCGGTACACTCGCTCCAACATCAAAGCCAGGGGCTGTCTGTCTGAAACGGAGTCAGAAGGACGCCAGCGAGGGCAGCGCGGACAGCTCTGCCGCCGCTCGCACTCGGACGCCCGGCCGGACGCCCGGCCGCGTGCGCGTGCGCAGCTTCCCAGCGCAGCCCGGGGCCTGCGACATGCGCGCAGGTGCAAGGTGGGCCTGGCCTGGGCCCCTGGACCGTTAGCTGCCACCAAGGCGCCATTGAGAAGTGTCCACGGGCTCGCCCCACTACAGGGAGCGGGGCTCCTCTTCTCCCGTGACTCTGGATTGGTCTGATTCCAATCACTCTGAAGAGTCTTTGCATTTGGTACTTTTTTTTTTTTAACTTAAATTAAGGATCTAGTTAACAGATGCTAGAATTTCATCACAATTCCTTCGACCCTGTGTTATGCAGTTGATCTGGAGAGGGAAGAAACTGCTCAGTACTGTCTTTGTGTTAGGCCCCTGGAAACCTGTAAATTTAGAGGATGGACTACAGCAAAATTAATTAGAAGTCAGCAGCAGTTGTATGTTTTCAAAAAATCAAACTTTGTTTTTGTAGAAGAGGTTGGACTTTGATGGTCATCAAATCTAACCCTTCACTTTCCACAAACGAGGCGACGTGCGGAGTCGCAGCCCCGAGGCCCGCACCCTTCTTTCTGAGTCAGGCTCCCGTCAGCAGGGCTCGCCCAGGTCGCTGGGCTCCAGCCCGTACTCCAGGGAGCTCTGCAGGGCAGGAAAGACATGGCTGAGAATGACCATTTACGATGATCACAGGGTAACAAAGGGGTGTCGAACAGCAGAGGTGTCGTGGGCAGTGCGGATCTGTTCAATTCTGGCGATTCACGCAGTTGTTTATAATAAATTAGAGTCACATCAGCCCAGTATATAAGAGAAAAGCAACAAGCAGCATGTCACGAACGACCAAGAGGTGAAGGAGTTTCCTGAAGGGGCAGATTTGGCAGATGGGCTGTCACTGCCTGTAAAGAATTAAAAGGTTAGAAAAGACATATAAAAAGGGAAGGCGTGTTCGTTAGGCAGCTTGTAACTGTACTTCGCCATTCGCTGAGAAATGTGGAACAGCGCTTCTCAAAAATTGTTTCTATGACCGGTCACATAATATTCCAGAATGTAGGTGCTATAAAAGCAATCAAAAGTGAAAGGCACTTTTTCTTCTAAATTGTTGCCTTTAATAATTTCATTCTTGTCAATTTTTATGGATCTGCTTATTCAAAATAAAACATTTATGCTGAAACATGAGGGTTAGACAGTTAACTCTCCTCTAAGAACACCTAACATTAGAATGTAAAAAAAAGTGGCTTCTGGAGTCTGATTTCTTTTAATTTCCTGTATCAGGTGACTAAAGACACTCCAGACATAATGCTCTCCCACAGGACGCAGACACTCCAGGGCATGCTAGCAGAGCTGCTCGGGGAGCCTGATTTGGTTTGCGTTGGGGCCACGGGCTCCAGTGTGGGTCTGCTCTTAGGACACCAGCCGGCTGAAGGACTCTGGTGGGGCTGCTCGCACACACACCAGATCCGAGTTCGCCTTTTCCGGCCCGTTTTGACAGTGCCATCACCTCTAGCTTTGGGGCCAGGGCAGTCACTCTTCGGACCTGCACGCCCGACGCTGGTGCTGCACCTTGGAGAGCACTCGCTCGTAGAACAGCAGGTACGCGCTGGAGGACAGCACCTCCTGCAGGCTAGCCTTGCGGACGCTGTCGTCGGAAACCCACAGCCACTGGTTGCTGGTCGAGAGAGGGTTCTTTGCGGAAGGTGGGGACCGCCGGTAAGTCACGAAGTGGCCAGAGTGCATGTCTCCGTGGTGGACGACAACTGCCATCAACCGAAAGAGGTACATGGAGGAGCTGGACGGGAGGAGCAAATGCCAGCAGCTTACAAACACGGCAAAGGTTTGCAGGCAAAAACAAAGAATCACAGCCGTTGAAGGCCAGGTGATAAAGGGCATGTCCACACAAGTGAGGACCTGACAAACCGCTAACGCAGGCCTAGCTCTGCTGGCTCGGTAAGCTGTCCGTTGTGTGCGTGTGCACTGCCGGGCGTGTACCTGCGTGCCGGTGCGCACCTGTGCAGAGCAGACCTGAAAGACTGAGCTGGAAATCTCGAAGTAGCAGCCCAAGAAATTTAAAATGTTCTTCTTCATTCCTTACAAATATATCAATACACGTGTACACACACACACACATTAGACATACTTATGGTTAACTTTCATAGTTCTTATTTTTAAGGTCATTTCCATTTTAGACAAAAATAAGCATAGGAATAAGGAATGCATAATGGTGAAATCCCACCTTCAACCAAAAAGAAAAAATTCTATCTATATTCCACTCATTTTTGAAAAAAGCTAATTTTGGAAACCAAGAGAAACAGCAGCCAACAATGAGAATAAACTTCCAAAGGGCCTCACCTGTGGTCTGGAACAACAGGGAGGCGGAAGGGCATTGGGGCTGGCAGGGCAGACAAGAAAGGTGGGGAGCAGGAACCATTCACAAAAATTGGTGTTTTGGGGCCCGCTGGCTGATTCAGAACTGTGAGAAAAAAAGACAATTAAAATTAGCAGTGGCCATAGCAGGAGTATAATGGACCAGGCGAGAAAATAACAAAAATAATGAACAACCATACACCAGAGACATTTTGTGGGGGTGGAGTGGGGAATGGGATCAAAAAGGGGGGGGGAGGGGAGGGAGGGAAATGCACGGGACTATGGTGGTGGCACAGGGGTGATTTGGTGATGGGAAACCCGCGGGGATTACAATCAAGATGAAAAAAAAATGTGCAAAATGATGTGAAAATAAACTTTGTAAAAAAAAAAACTAGCAGTGGCTTTGGGTAAACAAAACCTTGAAATTTAACTCCCCAGCAAGGCTACGAAGAAGACAAGCGGTTTGCCACTGGCCCTTCACCACAGCCGACATACATCCCACACCAGCAGACCTGCACCCCAGCCTAGACAACGTGGGGTGAGGGGCAGGTCCTTGGTCTAAAACAAACAGTGGCCGAGGACTGAGCCCGCTCCTGACCCCAGCTGTTGCCAGTGTCAATTTATTGGCCGGCTGAGAAAAGGCTAAAGTTTCTCTCTGAATACAGCCCGCCAGGTCCTGGCCGTGGATGCCACGTCGGGGAATCCCGGAAGACGGTCCCGCCCTGGGCACCGCGGGGGGCAGTGTAATCGAGTGGGTGCGCCCCTTCGGTTACAGGAGGTCCTTTCCAAAACTTCTGACAATACAGCCCAGAGCTGCTCTCCCGCTGGGCTGTTTGCCCCTGACCAGTCATTTAACCTCTCGGAGCCTGTGTTTTCTCGTCAGTGGGGTGAGAGTAACAGTCGCTACCTTGCTTCCCTAGGCTTAACCTCAAATGAGGACAGTGATGGAATTGGACACACAAGTCATTCTGTACCGAAGGAGAGGCACAAGTGAGATGCTCGGAGATAACCAGCCAGAACATTCCCCCCCCCCCCCACCTTTCCTACAAAAAAAGAAGGCTGAACTGGGAGCAGGGGAGAGGGAGAAAGAGAAGAAGCTCAGTGGGATGATGTGAGCCAATTGCTGAGTCAAGAGGCTGGAAAGCAAGGCTCTGCATCTGACGCTTTTCTTCCTATATATTTCATCTATTTTTGAAACTATATATATTTTAGTTTGTTTTTTTTAAATATTTATTCATACAGAACTGGGGTACAGGCCAGAGATGGGGAGGGTGAGAGAACCCACCAGAGACAGAGCGGGGAGCAGAACAGGCTGATTGATGAAGTACACTGCTGAGGGGAGCAGCGGGCAGGTCAGGAGAGGTCTGCCGCACCATGTGGTCTCCTCCGGGGCAGGCGGGGATCAAACTTAGTGCTGTGCTTTAACCCACTGCGCCACCAGGGCCCATATTTTAGTTTTTAACTACATAAGCTTTAGTTTCTAAAACTACATCTCATTATTAAATGATGTTATGGCTTCTTTTGAGAGAGCATCCCTCTCCTGCCCGCAGTGCTGCTGTTCTTGAGAGCTAACGTGACTCCAGAACGGGCCTCACCCTGGGCCTGAGGGGCCTGGCCCCACTCCCCGCCACCCCTCCCGCCACCCAGGCACACACACCTGACTTGGGGGCCGTAGGCCGCTCCTGCAGCTCCGGTGAAGGGCCCGAGTTCTCGCTCGGCTTGGCACTGCGTTGCCCGGGCTTGTGTCCGAGGAGGTGATACTTGTAGATGTCCATCATCAGGAACTCATTGAACTGCACATGTTCGTGCCGCTTCAGGGGTGCGCCGTGGCTGGACCAGCTCAGCCGCTGCAGGTGGATGCACAGGCACTGAGGGAGCTGGGGCCAGGGGCCAGAGAGAGCCGCGTGTCAGAAGGGCACACATGGCGTCCTCAAAGGCCAGCCCCCCGGGGTGTGCTGGACTCACTTTTCCCAGTTTTAACTGTTTAACAAAGGTGGTCCTCTGGCGTTCCACCTTCTCCCCACTCAGTGTCCCTCCGGCTTCGATCTGAAATAGAAGGAACAGCATCTCTCTGTAGGAATTCTTGACACGGGACATCTACAGAGAGCTGCAGGTCAGGCTGGGGTTACACCTGTATTCACCTGGCACTGGACTTCTACCTGCTGAACTGAACAGAGCTTCCCAAATATTTATGAGCTGTTTCCATTCATTCCTTTTAGTCAAAAATAACAGAAGCAGTGGAGGGGAGACAACTGAAGATTCACTGGCACTTTGGCACCGGCATGTAATCTATTCTGTGTCCTTAAAAATTCTGTTCCACACAGTTCCCCTCGGTCAGAGGGTGAAATCTATGGCTGCAGGGAGTCAGGCAGGCAGTGTAGGGAAGAGGCAGGATGTGAGCAGGTGGGCCTAGAAGGGCTGTAGCAAGGCCTCCAATTTTTTTCTTCAAACTCTCTGTGGATCAAAGAAGTTCATCTGGACAGCTGGGTTGTCAGGCAAGTTAGGCAGAAATGGCCGTGGCTGACAGACCCTCTGGGTACAGGCTGCAGTTGGGGAAGCGCCACAGGGCACAGGTGAGCCGGGAGGGAGGCGTACCTTCGTGCAGTTGTCACAAACAACATCCCGCACCGACTCTGACGAGATGAAGTGGTGAAGGCAATGGTCCAGGGTCAGTGGGTGACCCTACGGCACCAAAGAAGAAAGTTTATGGTGACCAAGGAGCAGCAGACCCAAGCTCCGTCAACAACAGCAGTGAGAATCGGTTTTGTATCTGCTTACACAGATTATAGTTTCTCACACACACAACTGAGTGCTTCCTGAACCAGCAGGCACTCCAGGCACCTGGAATTGCTACTGGGGACAGAGTCGAGGATGAGGACATAACACTGCGGGAAATAATGGCCTTCCATACTGTTTTAGATTGTTTTGAATGTGAGATTTGTGTATGTTCAAAAAAGTCAAAATTCTGCAGCAAAGAAAAATCTTCCACCTTCCTCTCAACCCCCAAATCAGGCCATGGCACCCCACATTAAAACTCAGATGTGCTGGCTAGGAACAGAATACCAGCTAGTGCTTCAGCTACAGAAAACACCTCCAAGCCCTTTCAGACTTGAATGTTCCCAAAGAGACCCCAAACAAGTCCTCAGTCAGTACGTACCCACGTGGCAGCCGGGATACTGAGTGAAAGGCTATCAAAGGTATCAAATCGAACTGGACTCTGAAACAGATATTGCAGAAAACCCAGAAAGGTCTTAGTTTAAATTCAAAACTTTGTGGGTGGGAAGATACCTGCCTAGGAAACAGCTGAGTACTCAGATGCCTGACGTTAACATAATGACATGATATACTTACCTAGGAAGCAAATTAATAACAACCTGTACGGGGCCTCCCTGGTAGCCTAGAGATTAAGCCTCAGCACTATCACCTCGACAGCCTACTGCCATGACCTGCATTCGATCCCTGGCCAGGGAGCTGACCCACATGGCGTAGCAGACCTCTCCTGTCTCAGCCGCTGCTGCCCTCAGCAGTGTATTTCAGTAGATCTGCCTGTTCTGCTCCCCACTCTGTCTCTGGTGAATCTTCTCACTGCCCTACCCCTCTACACCTCTGGTCTCCACCACAGTTCTTCAACACAAAAATAAAATCTTAAGAAAAAAGTTAAAAATAAAAACAACCTTATAAACCTAAGAGGTACAGTACCATTAAAGGGTATAGAGCCCAGACAATATCAAACCCCAGATACCCCTCCACACGTTCTAGATCTTTCATGAATCTCAAAAGAAAACCTTGCGAGAAAATGGCCAGCACTGGCACTGTGCTTACCTGGTGTTCACAGTGTTTGCAGACCATGTTACTAGTGAGCCTTCCATGGAAAGGATGCTGAGACTTCCAATGGCTGGATGTGGGATGAGGGGAGCCTAGAACACAAAGCATCTTTTGATGAGCCATCGAGCTCAAACCTCTCGCTCCCTCTTAGTATGGGGTAGAAACATCCTCTTCAGAAAAA